AAAAAAAAAAGGCAGAATAAAAAACGTACCTTTTGATGGAACAAATGTTTGAAAGCGTTTAATGCCATCGCCATCTGAAAAATGAAACAATTACGGGAAATCGACAGTTTTTGGTGAAAGTTTGACTGCCCTTATTTCTCAGTGAATCCATTGATATTTTAATAATTGTTAATTGATCGATACTTTAAATTTTGAATAAAATAAACATAAATTTTTTTCTATTTCCAACTGATTCTACCTATATTTGACTTTAATTATTTGGCTGGTGTAGTGGATGTAAACAGGCGCAATTGACTTGCCAAATTATAATCTTCAGTGTTTCAAGGTTATAAATGACAGTTCAAAATTACGGTGAATCAGATGTCAAATTGTTTTGATCAACAATTTTTCCTTGCTTATCTGTTGCCACTATTATTTTAACAGATTTTCACAGAAAAAAAAATTTATAATTTTCATTGAATAATTAGAATGTCAATTAAAGGCAAAATTTTGGTTAAATATAATACTCAAAAAAAAATTTCTAACCATACCGATCATAATTGAAGCAAATATCAGCAAATATCAATATTACTATTATCATAGTATTATCACTGTAATATTGATAGATGATATTTGTCACTTGATACCAATAAAACAATACGGCTACTAAGAAATCAAATAAATTAATTTACAAATTGAAAAAAAAATTAAAGTTCAACTTTACGAAAAAAATGCAAGAAACTATTGAATATTATAAATTTGTAAAGGGAAAAAAGTAAATCTACAGCAAATAATTGCAACAATCGAATGTTTTGCTCTAAAAAAAAGAAAATGCCGATCAAAATCATTTAGCTGACAGGTGAGGCAAAACTAATGATTACTAACTATTAAAAGAACTATAAAGAAGCTATCCACGATTTATAGATAATTAAATTTTAAAAAAAGTAATAAATGAAAATTTTATCTGGAAAAACATTTTAAAAAATTTTTTTTCTCTACTTTTATTTTCTACAATTACTGCAATTATCGATAATATCGTTTGAACAGATTGATACTACAAACGATGAGCAATAAATTAAGACGTTGAACTTTATTTATAAGATATTTTTTCCCTGTTTTTTTTTTTTTTTTTACAAAATTCTCTTTTCCGGCAGTAATATTCTTTTTTTTTTTCGTATTCTTATTCAAAACTAAAAAAAGTTGAAGAATTTTTTTTTTTGACAAACAATAAACAATAATCTAATAAGTTGCAGAAACAAAGAAAGAAACAAAATAAATAAGCAATAGGTTGATATCACAGTAACACTAACCTAAGATAGCCGTTTGTCCATTGTTTTCATCGATTTTTATTAACAGCCATATCAATAAGATTAACGTTAACCGATGCGATAGTATAGATTCCATCACCAACGTTTATCGGTTTGGAATCAAAAAAAAAATGTTTTTTCTGACTGTGTATGGGGTTATTGCAGTGCAGTAGACCGGATGACAAAAAAAAAAATTCTTATTGTCCAATTTAGGTCATCGATGTCTCATCCATAAC